GTTGATGGCATTTTGTTAACAGGAAATTCGGCCAAAGATATTAAGTGTCTACTCGAAAATTTATACAAAAGGTTTCAAATGAGAAATCTTAGGTCACTAGCAAATTTTCTGGGAATTCAAGCTGTTGCCACTACCGATGGCTTTCTTCTTCATCAGCAAATATATGCTAACAGTATTCTGGATAAAGCTGGCATGACAAATGCAAAACTGGTCTCTACACCAGCCTCTTGCAAAACTGTGCTCACTTCTACCTCTAACAATGACTTTTCAAATCCTAAACTATTCCATCATCTCATCGGGTCGCTTCAATATTTAACATTAACTGATATTCAGTATGCTGTCCAACATCTCAGTCAGCACATGCACAAACCGCTTAATCTTCATTTCGAATCTCTCAAGAGATTACTTCATTATATAAAAAGTACAACTAACACCGGCATACCTCTTCACAAAGGTGATCTCAGGCTCCAAGGATTTGCAGATGCTGATTGGGCTAGTAATTCTCAAGATCGCAAATCAATCTCGGGATATTGTAAATTTTTGGGAAAATCTCTCATATCTTGACAAGTTAAAAAGCAAATGACGGTTGCTAGATCTTCTACCGAAGCTGAATATCAAGCGCTTGCCACCGAAGCATCCGAGGTTATTTGGCTCCGATGACTCCTTGAAGTTTTTCACAATCCGCAAACAATACCCACTACCATATACTACGATAATACCTCTGCGATCGCATTAGCAAATAATCTTATTTATCATGCTCGTACAAAGCACATTGACGTGTATTGTCATTTTATCCGAGACTGCATTCAAGCAAAGCATCTCACGGTTCATCACATTTGTACCAAGGATCAAATAGCTGACATTTTTACTAATAATCTACCCATACAAAGCTTCCAGTTCTTGTCCAGCAAACTGATCTTCGCTCCACCCCCATCAGTTTGACGGGTGCTATTAGATATTACAGTTTTACTTCTTGCCACTTGGAAAAAATGTTATTTGTTTGTATTTCTATAAATAGTTCTTTTAGTTGTAATGAAAAGAATAAGAGAATTCTTTACTTTCGTTTTGTCCTGTCTTCTCTGTTCTCCTCGTTCTCAAGAAATCCTCACAACAAACACTAACAAGACAATCATCATATCAAAGGCATACCTTATTCATCCTTTCTAGACTCTATAAAAGGAGGTGGATGAACAACAGAAAGGAATATCAAAAGCATAACCATCATCAACATCGGAAAAGGAATAAGAAGAAGAGGACAGTGATTTTATTCAACTCCACTTGAGAGAAATCTTAGAAGAGAAGTTACTTCTTTATTTGTGTAACCAAAAGCTCTAAGCTTTCTACCAGCTTGTAGCTTTGGCCCAAATAACAAAGATTTCTTCTACATTCACATCTCTCTCTCTCTCTTCTCGCATCTGCTCGTGGTACCTAGGGCTGCCAGGCAACATCCACCAGACAAAATAAGATCCGACATATATATATATATGAAGACTTTTGAGCATAAGAATTCAGCGATGCCAAAAAAAGTGGATTAATCATGAAATTAAACAATTGTGTGCCAATATTTGACAATATATGTCCATAGAATACATTACTAAAAGAATGAGATGTTTAGGCGAATCATTTTTATATATATTTTCAGAGATAACAAATGTAATGAAGATTATCACAATATACTGCCAGCAATATTATAATTCACTATCAAATCGTAGGCTTTGATGAGCTCAAAACACATGATCACTCTGTTATTCTGACAGTCTTTATAGTTGCTGGTTTCATTCCCAGAAAATAAATGGTGTAATTTTGAATATGATTACTGAATCAAACATGATCGACTATGTAGAAATGACTAATCCTTTTAGTGTTGGTAAGTGCTTGAATGAAAGCAAATGTTTATGGTGTTTAAGGATAGCAATAAACACCTTCTTGATAAGAAATAAATTTTATTGTTGCAAGATACCTAAAATCCTTTTCGCTTGAAATTTTTTGATTATATTAGGAAATTATTTGATTTCTGTTGTGATCAATATGAGTCAAAAAGCAATTTGACATTATCTTGTATGAAACCTTTGGCTCTAATATCAATATAATATAGGGTCTATAAAATCTTGATATTGAATCAACTTCTCCAATGTTGTAGTGGTAAAGGGTTATGTGGGCAACAAGAAAAAAAAAATATTTAATATTTTGGAAAGATTTGAGGATGGAAGTTTATAGGCATTGAAAGGGTGGGTTTTTCTAGAAGAAAAAGTGTCAGCAATTTCATATCAAAGGTTGAGTATGTCATAAAAATAATACCATATTTTTTATGAATTTTAGATTAATGGTGGAGGATTTGCAATTTTTTTTAATCTTGATGTTTTTTGTTTTTTTTTTTGAAGAAATGCAGAAATTGCATTAAAATAAAAGAGAAGACAACCTAACACAAACTAGGTAATATAAGCTAATGATCCATTTTTCAATAAGAAAAAGGGACCTTATTAAAACTAAATTTGTTAATTTAAACTTATTATAAATGAAATGAAATCCACTATCGCCTATTTTGAAACTGTTGAGATACAGGGGATACCAAAATTTAAGACAACCCGAGGGTTGATTAGAATCTCAGAGTTCTCATCCAGTTAGAAAATAAGAATTAGTAAAGATCCCATAATCATTTAAACAAAGTTTAAATAACAAATTAAAAGTAAAAAAGGAAATAACAGCTAAAAAGAAAATTACAATTCAAAAATAAATTCCAAAAGTTTGGTATTAGTTCGCCAAACTTTATGACCATAAGCTCCTTCTTCAAGTATATCTTTGTTATGTTGTTATCCACGGGAGATACTTTTGCATTTTTAGTGAGATAAAAGGGAAGAAGAACCTCTCAAACCGTTCTTCTCTTTGTGATCAGCCAACTTTCTTCTAGGTAGTTCTTTCACCGGTCTAAGATCTTGTAGTTCTTTGAACAACTTGTGTTTAGAACTTGAAGAACCAAGCTCCAAAGAAACTTTTTTATTCTTCAATAAGACAGTTCTTTTGAACTTTAAACTGATTGAGGAGAAATGGTTTTAGAAAAACCATCTTTTGTTTCATCAACATTAACAAACATTTCAAAAATATTTGCTGTCTTAATAGGAGTTGAATCTGAAATCTGCTCCTCAGATTTCTCCTTAACCGCCTCCATCATATGTGGAATTTGAATTTCCAAATTCCCAACAACCTTTTGATTATCCTCTGAAATAACAGTAGATTCGTTATTTCCTTCAATTAGACCTTTCTCCAGCATAAGGCCAGCTGGATTTGTTGGAGAAGAAATCGACTTTAGCTCCTTTTCATCCTTCTTTTCAGCCTCCATGAGAGCTGAGTTAGTTGGAGAGAAAGCCATCTCATCAACCTTATTATTTGAATTATGATCAGCACTAGTTTCTCCTAACAAACCATCACCCATATTATCCTCATCAGCCAAAGCTTTAAACGAATTAGATTCAAAAATTGAATCCCGAGAATCCATGCTGATTTTCAATTTCTAGTTAACCGCCACTTCATCTCCTTCCTTGAATCCAGCATTTTCTTCAATTTGACCTGCAACTTCCACTGGACGGACATCATTTTGATCTTGTTCCCATATGCCAATGTTTGTACAATTTCTTCTGTTTCAACAAGAACAGTTTCTTCACTTCTACAACCCGTTCCAGATTTTTCTGCTGCTAAAAAAATTCTGGATTTCAATTGATTTCTCACTGATTTCTTCTTGTTTTTGAATTTAACTTGCATCCAAGGACCATAAAGATTATCATTATGATTTGAGATGGAAGTGATTTCCTCAATATTAGGACAAACTGAATCAATATGCCCTATTCTCCCACATTTGAAACAAAGTGATGAAAGATTTTCGTATTCAAACTTTTGAAAAAATCTACCATGCAACCCTTCAACCCATATTCCAGAAGGGAGTTTAGAGTTCAAATTAACTCGGATGCATGCTCTAGCAAATTCTCTTCTTCCCCATCTAAACATATTACCATCTAATAGTAATGGAGTCCCAATTCTAGAGACAATTCTAGTGATATTGGACTCATCCCAGCAGTGAAGGGGTAAGTGAGGAAGACGAACCCAGAACGGAGATGAAATACCTTCCAATGAATTAGGAGAGAAGTTAGGAGACCATTTGTCTAACCCAACTGCAAAGCCCCCTACAAATCATGGACCTCCATTAAGGACTTCTTCCATGGCTTCATGAGATTGAAATGAACAAAGTAACCAATCTAGGCCAAGAATGGTTAAATGGAATCCTCCAAATTTCTTCCATTGCTTTCTTAACTCAATGGCACATTTAGAGAAAGATAATTTTTTCCCAAGAATTTTAACAACCAAAGATTTACTAAAAACTTGAATATTGGATTTTTCCTTATCCATATCCAGTTTAACAATGTTTAACTCTTCAATCTCATCAAGATTTTTATTCCAATTAATTTTAATGTGTAGTTTTTTAGTCCACACATTAGAATTATCAAAATTTGAAGAAATATTTGGATTATTGATATTGACATTAGCCTTGTCAATCTCCTTGTCATTCTTCAAAATATCAACAAAACTGCTCCTTAAAGAAGAAGCTTCTTTGTCATTTGCTCCAAAAAAAGAAACCGGTAAAGGAGATTTAGGTAACTTGTAAGAAGCCGAAATTACCTCTTTCCGTTTACTTGAATCCGGCAATGGCTTATGTTTAGCCAACAAGCCTTCCTCTTTGATAACAAGAGAAGATTCCAAAACACGAAGATTATGAGAGGAGATGCGTTTGAAGGAGAATCTACCTTTTGAATCCAACATAATTGGACTCGCGGTAGATAAAATGGATTTGGTGTTCCGGTCATCCATAGATGACCGGCCACCTTCTACCATCTCTTTAATCTTGATGTTCACAATAGAAATTATCTCTTTGTAAAAGGCTTTTAACTTTGATACTTTGGTACTAATAAAGATTTGAGATCTTAAGAAGTTGTAGGAGCATGAAAATTCAGTTTTATATAAATTGTGAATATGAAAATTCAGAAATTCCAAGAAAAGTGGAATAAGCTTGAAACCAAACAATTCTGTGTCAATATTTGACAAAATACGTCCAGAGAATACCTTGCTAAAAGAATGAGAGTTTTAGGCGCATTATTTTTATATATTTTCAGAGACAACAAACGTAATGAAGATTATCACAATTGAGAGCCAACAATATTATAATTCACTATCAAAATGTAGGCTTTGATGAACGCAAAATGCCATATCACTCAGTTATTCGACTATGTAGAATTGACTAATCACCGTTTGCTACAGTGCCTGCATTCTTGATTTCTTTCAAACATTCTTGGAGTTCATGACGGTGCAATACTTTCGTGAACTGAGGAAACATTAAAACCACCATTTAAGATCATTCGGAGAGAAGCTGAAACGGAGATAGGAGTGAAAGAGAGAAAAATACCTGGGATATCTTCAAATCAACTTCTTCCCATTCTAATGATGGAACGGTTCCTTTTACTATCCCAGCACCAGCAAAAACTAAAGTGTTCAAATCCTAATTTTCATGTGGGTACATAAAAATTCAATAAATTTATTAGCATAAAAGAAATAAGTTCTGAATTACTAAAGTGCGTTTACACTTTGAATTTAAGTTGTTTATCATGCATTCAGAGGAAGAATGAAGAGCACTTAACCGCAAAGTATAAATGTACATTTATACTTTGTTCAGAATTTGAAGAAGACTCGACACTAATCAGTTAGTAGAAGTCAGTCATAGTGCAAGTAAATTACATTTTTTCGATATCTGCAGGTCTTGAAAATTACATAGAATTGAACAACGAGATTTTAGAAGAGATGAAATACGCAAGAATTGAGCATTGATGGACAGCGGATTGATGGCCAACGATTACACCAGTAAAAAGAAAAAAAAAAACAAATTCTTTCATTACCTGACCAACAAGAGCTGATCTGATGCCAACTGCAAACTCACTTTCACTTCCTCCAAACCAACCAACAGGACCGGCATACATTCCTCGATCAAACTTTTCTGAAAAATAACAACAAAATAATCATCATTATTACTTTAAAACAGGTGGTTTTCAGTTCCGCACCAAACATTGGAAAAGCAATGCTTATAAATACTTGTGTTGCGAATTACAATGTACTAACATCATATAATAGAAAGGCGTGTCTTGCCCATCTCGTGCAAGACGGCGACAAAAGCCCGAATCAATATAGTTAGTTTAAGAAAAGCAAATTAGAGATACCTTATGTGAGACACTCAATGGTAGTATCCGACAATACGTATTAACCAAACTGACAAAAGAGACTACGAACCTCAATCTCAAAAGAAATCCAAGTCCCCAGTTTACTCAGCATCCTCCCTTTGCAATAGTTAATTTAACCATACCTAAAAAAGTCTCTCTCTCTCTCTCTCTCTCTCTCTCTCTCTCTCTATATATATATATATATATATATATATAAAGAGAGAGGGAGTGTATTCGTAATATTGTAATATCATATTCTATATGTATTTGTACTCTATTTTTATGAATAATAAATGTCCTATATTCATGCATGTTCTGCATGTGTTCATGCATGATAATTTTATAAATATTTTGAATTAAATAAGAGAAATATTGCCCAAAAAACCACGCAAGACCATTAGACCATTTCGACTAATCAAACCGCACGGTGGCTAACATAATGCTCAGGACTCTTAAGAGTCCACCTTAAACAATTTTAAACCCTTCTCCACCTTTTGTAGGCCTCCTTGCAATGGGTTGAACCTTTCCAAACACATAATAAACCCAAGCTCACCGTAGAAAACCCTTGGGTTCATTTGGCCCAATCCATAGACCAATATAGACCGAACAATAGTCCCAAGACCAAATTGATAGATCTAAGAACTTTTCAACTTTAACTAAAAAAATGCATAATATTAAAGCAATCCCCATGAGCATGCTTTGAAAGATTTACAAAGTCATATGTGAAATGAGATATAAACAAAGCAAGGGGGCACTTTTTATAAAACAGTAAATTGAAGGGAGAATGAAAATATTTATTGTGCATTTATATGTTATAATTATTACAAGTGATAATAATGAAAAAAACTTCACTCAAACAAAAATAATAATAATATAGAATTTGAGATAAAAAAACTCAAAAAGTTCAAATAATTCTTCGAGATAAAAGTAGTTCAATAAGGAATATTTATCTCACATTAATAAAATTATGTCCTAGAGTTATTAAGAAAATCAAATATAATAAATTTAAATTAGTGTAAAACTCTAATAAAATAAGGCAAGGAGCTAAATAATGATATAAAAGGAACCAAATTCGATAAAGAATGATATTAAATATTAGTTGATAAACTAATCAGCCTATCTTACACTCATTCAAATATTATATTTATGAGAAATCTCAAAAATCAATTTATGCATAAGCCAAAGGAATCATACCTTTGCTTATATCAAACTTATTAATTTTGCAATCAACAGATATGCAAAAATTAAAGATAAATTTAGTGCACAAGTGCATCACTAAAAAGGCACGTGAGAGTATAGCATTCTTGTACAGAACCGGTAGTTTAAAAAAAATGTAGTGTAAAATTGCAATGATCCGAAAACAAAATACAATTATTTCACAATGAAAATATAGAAAGGTAACCAAGTTAACCTGTAAGTACCATGTTCTTCTATAAATTTGCGAGCCTCTTCCGAAGGCATCCCACAAACGGCAGGACTTGGGTGCAGGGAAGCTAGGACATCAAACTGCAAAAAAAAGGGTTTTGAAGATAAGAGACAACACATGGAATGATAAAAGATGTTTTGATGAGATGTAAAGGATATAGAACTTTGCCAACTTTCGAGAAAAAGTTTTTATTATTTGATAATTATCTATTTAAAATAATAATAGTAAAAAGCCAACTCAGTTCAGCTAAAACTGGGGAAACTTAGAGAGATAAGAAAACTTGTGAAAACGCACCTTCGTAGAACAGAATATAAGTTAAATATTCTGCAATCTACATTTTATTTCTACTTCTAATATTTGAGCAGGTAAGGTTTTGTATGAATAAAATTTAAATGTTTATGCGTTGCGCACAAATCTAACCTCATCACATTCCCTCCTTAATTTGCCAAATAATTCAGCACATAGATGTTGTACTCCGGGAAGTCTTCGTAATGCTTTTCTTGGATCTATAATCACCTCATCGCAGATGGTCTACAGCAGACTTATCAATTAAAATCTTAACTAAAAATTGGGATAATGAGACAAATGATACATTCAATCAAATCAGTATCAATTGCAAATTTTACTCTAAAAGTGAGTAATTACTTGCCTCCAATTTTGCTCTAATGATATCGCGTACTATGGTAAATTCGATATCATCCTTGCGACTGCAATTGGAAAATAGATCAGTACCTTACTTTTCAACTGAGTGGAAATAGTTGGGCATATTATTTCTTTATTGCAGCTAAAGTTTTGTAAAAGTTCAGTAATAGTACATTTTGATCATCTCAATATCACATTTATTCTTGAAAATTAATAAGATGTTTCTTTGAAATTTGCAAACACTCAAGCCTACATCTATAGGCATGATGAGATGAAATAAGTCGTCCGTTTACCAATGACATAATTCCAACACATAGAAAGAGCCACCACTAACCGCAAAATTTTAAAATAAAAAGCTATAAATACATTTATCTCATAGCATCACGCCTACAATATACGATCTCTCCTCTTCTACTCATTTTAAAATTAATCAAATAATACCTATAAATGGTTTAAAAAAAAGGGAGTAGTCACAACTCAATGAGTATGTCATGATTCTAAATTATAGTCATACGAGGCCTTTGGAATAATATTCATGTGAATTTCAACATATAAAGTAAATCTAAATAAAATTCATTATAAACATGACCATCAATATTATACATATATCATAATTTATTATTTATGTAAATAATATATCCATCATAGGAGACAATGTCTAAAATAATACCAAGAAAGGTACTCTATTTCCATTTCCTTTTCATAACCTTTTCTATTTACGCAGCAAGTATATTGCATATCTGGTTAGTATCATAAGAGGATGTGCTCCATCATTCAACAAGCATATGCAAGCATATCTATCTAGTAATTTTCATTTATACAATATTCATTAACTTTCTATGAGAAATGTGAATCACAACATATTAATTATTGTTCATGCCAATGTGAACAATTATTGTGTCACAGTCAATCTAGAGTGTAATAGAGAAGGATAATCAGAACAAAATTACTTCTTAATAACACCTATATTGAAATACTTCTATGAAAATTGGGGAGTAAGAAGTAGTCTATTCAAAATATTATAACATATCATGCTTTATACTTCATAACAGAAAGCATATATAATATATCTCAAATAAAAATGTACATCTCAATTGAAATACATAGCTTTACTAAAACTTTTAAAATTTATTTACATACCCAAAAGTCTATTCACAACCAATTCAGATCCATTTATACACCCAAGAAGTCAAAAAAAATAGTCAACTATCCTAATTAGTACCCCACTGACTCATTTCTCTTGTCTGCAGTATAACCACTACTAATCAGCTAAAGCTCAATAAAATATGCAAGCAATATAAAAGAAATAATAATACCATTTTAATAGCTAATTTAAAACACATAAATTCCATACTGATTATAAGAATACATAACATCACTTTATTTTTTATTTCATGTTCAATACCTTTATACAAGTCATATGATAGCTATAAACTTTTTTTGTATCATTCTAGTTTTTTAATTCAAGGTTGGGTTCGAATTCTCAACTTGAAGAATTGAAACTGTTCTCTCAATCAAGGTAGGATTCAAATTTCCAAGTTTTAAAATTTTGAGTGTAGGTGTTGACATTTACCAAATCCCAAAATAAAATCATCAGCTCAAATATAAAAAAATTAGATGTCTTACCTCATATCTCTGCCACGAATCATATCCATGCCCTGAGTAGATCCGCCGCCTGCTACAGTGATGATTCACTATACAATTCGGCGCTAAAAATGTCCTCTCATGCATGCGAGAGACTCTTCTTGATCGCTACCCACCCTCATTGTTAAATATCAGAGCAAACGAAGCCTTATCCCATGTTCTCTCGGTATTTCTTCTTTCTCTCATCGCCAACTTCAAGCAGAACTCCCGTAGCCTTCCTCCTCCCATCAAACCAAAGCCTCGCCGTTGCTTTCGACCCCGAACCCCACATCTGCCGTCGCCTCCCCCTACCTATTCCGAACCCGTCGCTCCTCCCTCTACCTCTTCCGAAACCCACGGACAAAGAGAGAGAGAGAGAGAGAGAGAGAGAGAGAGAGAGAGAGATCCCTCCCCCCACAAGCCCAAACCAGCCTCTCCTCGTTCTTCTCCCTTCGACCCTCCTGCGTTTGACCGAACCTCACCAAACCGAAAGCCTCCTCCGATTCCTAAGGACGAATCCCCCCCCCCTCTACCTTGTCCCGATCTCCAGGCCGAATCCTTGCTCCACGCCTCAAGTCACGATCTCATCCTTCCAGAACCCCTAGCCGAACTCCTCACCTGATCGATACTTCTTACCTGTGCCCGAGTTCAGAGAGTGTAATCCCTCTCTCATTTCCTTTTAGTGTATTATTATTATTCTTATTAATGCTGATTATCATTAATATGAATATTAATGCCATATTATTATTTATTATAATATTACTTTATTATCATCATTAATGATATCATTAATGTTGTATAATTGTAATATTATAATAGCATAATAATAATATGATTTTAATATTAATATTAGTGTTATTTCCATTATTATTATTATTAGTATTTAATTATAATTATTTATTATTAATACTAATTATAACTAATAATTAACTAATTATTATTTATTATAATTATAATTAATTAATAATTAGTTATGATTAATAATTATAACTACTTAATAATAAATTATAATTAATAATAATTAATTAGTTATAATTAATAATTAATTATAACATAAGAAATAATGATTAATGAAATAATAATAATAAAAATAATAATAAGTAACCATTAATAATAAAATAAATCAAAACCTATACCTAAATATCGGCTAGAGCAAAAGAGGCGGCTGCAAGCAGAGGGATGGAAGCGTCGGTAGGGGAAATCAGACAGGAGAAGATGGAGTTGGGTTCAGCTTCAACGGCTAGGTGTGGAGGTAAGTCGGTTTCTTCCTCTCTCTCTCTCTCTCTCTCTCTCTCTCTCTCTGGGCTGACGACCTACGAACAGGGCAGGGACGGGAGGAGCTAGGGCTCAGTTTGGTTTTGATTGGAGGTAGGAGGTGCTTGGTTCGGTATCTATGGTGATAGGCGTTGAAGCAGCAGAGAGGAGAATTTGAGGGGAGAGCAGAGAGGGGAAGCAACGCTAAAGCCTCGCTCTCATTTCATTTTTTATAGACTGAGTGCAACGGTGTCAAGGCGAGCAAATCCTGGAACGGTGCCGAAGGAAAAGTGATCTAGCGAGATTTGCGGGAAGCTACTCCGTCAGTGGGATTCCTGGATCTGATTGGTACCCGATATGATTTTGAGTCCTCATTTATTTTTTCTTTGGGTATAACATGGAGGTTAATAAATGCCCCCCAACAAATGTGATTTGCGTCTAGAGCGAACCACGTTTGTTATATGCTGATTGACCCTATGGAACTCCAGATATTTGCTCTGGATATCACACAGAGGTTTTCATTTAGTGGACCTCCAAAAATTTTCTTGGATGTCACACTAAGATTTCTATTTAGTGGATCTCCAAAAGTTTGTTTAGATGTCACACTAAGATTTCTATTTAGTGAATCTCAAAAAGTTTGCTTGGATGTTATACTAATCTTTCTTTCTCCATAGATCTTTTAGATGTATCCACAGATAGTTGATACATTGGCTTTAGTTAAATAGGGACCTCAAGATAGGGATATAGCACTTCGTATTTGGGTCCCTAGAGCATGGCTCTGTAGATTGATAATGGTGGATAATATCACAAATATTTGTTCTCTTTTAACACTCCTGTCACTTTAGTATATGCTCAATATTCTTCCATCATATGGTTGTATCTTGATTAAATTTTAAATATTTATTTGGGGATCTCAGCATGCAGCGTGATATCGACCCAAATAAATATTTAAAATGCCCCCAGTCTTTTGGGACATTTATGGGTATCATATAGGGTACTCATTCCATAGCTTTAGTTTGAGTCCTGAGATTTTGATCCTTCTACCCTATGCTTTATGCTGCGGACATTGATGGAGAATTACCTGACTTACCAACAGTGATTTGTCAGGAGATTTGTAATCCTTCAACCATATGCTTCTTTGCTTTGTCGGGCTTGACGAAGGAGTAGATGCCGGTGACCTAAACCCCTTAGGTTTGTACTAAGTCGGTGGCGAGAAGTCATCGGTCCAGAGCTTTGTGCATAACGGACTTATTGATGACATAATCCTTTTGTTCAGCCTTGAGCTTTTTGTGAACTTTAGGACAATTTCTTCGGTCCTTTGCTTTGTGGTTTAACGGACTTGTTGAAGAAAAATTCCTTCGATTCTTGCTTTGTGCTTTATAGATTTGTTGAAGGATTTGAAATAAGATTTAGTCGATAGTACCGAACATAGATGCTATCTTGATTCTTAACCACTTGAGAAGATTTTAATCCGAGTCACTTGAGTTCATCAAATTGGGTGAGCTAAGATTTGATAACTCTTCGTCCTCGGGGGTTCCTCTGACCCCTATACATCAGACCACGCGAGAAAAGACTCAAACTGGTAAATAAAGCAATATGTGCATTGATGAAACACGTCACTTAAGGGGTCAAATGACCTCCAAATGCCAAGCAGATGGTATCGTTGCGATCAGGACACTAAATTCTGCTAGGTTGAGGCCCTCGTAATTGAATCAGATGAGATTGGTCAAAAGAGTCGACCGACACCCGAAATTAAAACGCGAGGCTGATCAAACGATGTCAGATCAACAAACGGACTTCGCCATTGTGTCCGGAACGTCCTCGACATTCAAAATATACATCTATTGTGATTAATTGGGATCAATCTTAAGGGTGACACAGATCCCAAGATAATAACACATATCGAGGAATTTGGCCCTCGATGTTGCCAAAACAATTTCAAATCGACAAATGGACAGTGTCATTGCGTCCGGAACATTGTCTACATTCATAATATATATTTTATTTAATGAATTTGGATCGTCTGAGATGGTGGCAAATTTCTATGCAATTCAAATGTGATATAAAGGTCTGTGTTACGACGGAAACAAGGCCTCAAAAATGCTCGAATGACATCCGATCGACAAATGGACAGTGTCATTACGTCCGGAACGTCGTCTACATTCAGAATATATATTTTATTTAATAAATTTAGATCATCTGAGATGTTTTTCAATTTCTAGGCGATGCAAATATAATATTAAGGCCTGCGTTACAACGGAAATGGGGTCTCGACGATATTCAAATGATGTCTGATTGACAAACGGACAGCGCCATTGCGTCCGAAACATTATTGATATTCAGAATATATATTTTATTTAATAAATTTGGATCATCTGAGAAGGTGGTGAATTTCTAGGCGATGTAAATATGATATTAAGGCCTGCGTTACGACGGAAATGGGGCCTCGACGATATTCAAACAACGTCTGATCAACAAACAGACAACACCATTGCGTTCGAAACATCGTCGACATTCAGAGTTTATATTTTATTTGATCAAATTGGATCATTTGATATAGTGTCGAAAATTTCAAAGGCGGTCCAAATATAATGCAAAGGCACGTGTTACGAGGGAAATTAACCTCGTCGGTGAAGAAACGATGTCCGATTACAAAACAGATCACGCCGTTGCGTCCGGAACATCGTCTGTATTAAGAATCTATATTTTATTTGAGTAAATTGGATCGTTTGAGGTGATGTCACAAATTTCAAAGGCGAGCCAATTATGATACAAAAGCACACATTACGTGAGAATTAAGCCTCGTCGCCGCTCAATTGACGTCCGATCGCAAAACGGACTTCGCCATTTCGACCGGGACATCGGTAATATCCTAAATGCACTACAAAATTGTCTAATGTATATGTTCGACAAATTCGACACGCTAAACAAGATGATTACATATATTTTGAGGTAACACATGAACTCCAAGTAAATTACACAAATTTCTAGAAAAATTTTAAAAAAAAATGAGGCAATCTTTTTATATTTACGTGTCAGCTTCAAAGAAAATAAGAGTATAATGTAAACTCAAATTGCATTTAAATTGCCTCGTATCTTCTGAGTAAATCCAGTACAAATCTCTGATGAAATATCGTAATTTTTGCTGAAGCAAAACATCAGACGTAGCAAGCCTCGTATGAGGAAAATATCTTGTTGTTAAAAGGAGACTAACGAGGCTTCTGTTGGTTGACGAACCTTATTTTTCTCAACTCTCTACAATTCAGCTCTTGAAAAAAAAATTCCTCCTGCACCTCTCGTTTTCTTCTGTTTCCCACTCAACTATTCATACCGTAAAAGCACCTTCAAGCAGCTCACGATCTCTTCTTGCGCCAGCAGCAAACAAAGAAAGGTCCGATCGTCCAAAGTCGGATTTATCTCTGACCATTATTTCCCACTCAAAGATTCGCCTACGTCGGTGGCGTGCAGCTATCCGGCCGGCGGCCTCTCTTCATTGCGATCAAGAACGCCTTATTTGAGCTATAGATCCAGCGGCTCGTCCTCTTTCTGTTATCAACCTAAAACTTCCGCATCCACTGTGAAAGGAATCATACAGCTTTTACGGAGAGCTCAAGGCACAGTAACTTTGCAGTTTACGAGCAGAGTCTCATCCACTCGCTGTAGCAATCTCCACTTACAAACGATCAAGTCATTCCCCTCCAAAAGCTGGTTTCTCCACTTCTACTAAGAACCAGTAAAAGTATCTCTCCTTCCCTTCTACTCATCTTCAATCTTAGTCGAACTCACCTGTAGCCCGTCCGTCCCTAAGAGGTTCATCCGCATGCAACCTCCTTACATCCCACAAGCTTCTTCATTTTATTAACTATTCCTTTGGTCCTGCATTTCCATCCGTGAGCTCATTTGCATATTCCAAGGGAAAGAGCAAAAGCTACTGTGAGATTCCTTCACCTTTACTAACTTTTGTAATTAAATAAATTGTTATCATTAATTGTTTACATTAATAATGATATTAAATGCATGTACTTATATTTTGCTTTAAGATATTCTTCTGAACTCCCTGTTTATCCACTTTTCTTGTGTCATTAGTGGCTAAATGAAGCTCACCAATTCTTTAGATAAGCCCACCTCTTGCATGCTGCAGCCAACAAAGCTTCTCACCTCATAAATCTATTATTCAAAAGACATTAATCCCTCCCTTCATTTGCTGTATCACCCCACTATCTCATTTCACCCAAGGTTATCTTTCACATTCCCTCACAAAGCTTCAAACAGCAAACTTTTAGTTCAACCTCATTATTATTGTTTGCTTTTGATTTTTTTTTTATGGATATTAATTAATGTTGCTATTTGGTGAAGTTAATGCTACAGGTATTTTTGTCAATCAATACTGTTGGCCATATATTTGTGTACATACATGTGTGTGTATGTAAAAAAAAAAGGTGATTGTGAGATTGTTTTAAAAAAAGAAGAGAGAGAGAGAGCATTCAAAAAAAAAAAAAAAAAAAAAAAAAAAAAAAAGATAAAAAAAAGAAAGAGGGAAAAGAGTATAAAAAAAAGAGAAAAAAAAGGTTTTAGTGCATCTCACCGTCGTCGTCAACCCTGCGAAGGTACGAATTTTCTAAAACTCAGATTCTCGCTTTCATTATATGCGGCGGACCGGAAAACCGCCTATATATGCCTTTATTGCGCGTGGTGGGATGGGACCCCGGTCCGACGCCAATGACGAGGTGGGCAATCACCTAAACTCCATTTCGGCGCTCGCGGCGCACCGAAAAATCGCCTATACACGCCTTTATTGCGCGTGGTGGGATGGGACCCTGGTGCGGCGCATACGACGAAGCGGGGTAATTTATAAGTACCCGTACGCGGGGAAAACAAATGTGTTCATTTTTTTATGCAGGTGCACCCGAAGACCCCATACACGCCTTTATTGCGCGTGGTGGGAGGAAAGTACACGGCCGCAGTGTCCTAGTCTGAGGGCACCTACCATAAACGCCTTTATTGCGCGTGGTGGGAAGGCTAGTCTCCCAAAATTTCCCCTAAACAGGGGAGACGCCGGGAGGCTGCCGAAATTTTGACTGAAGATTCAAGGACTTGGACAGAATTTGAACAAATTGAACTTGAACTTGCACTTGGACTTGTACTTGGACAAAATATAAAATGACATAAAATTTAAATGATTAATTTGAACTTGAATTTAACTCAAATGATTTAAACTTGAACTTGAATTTAGTTTGAACTCAAGAAAACCACAAAGAACTTAACTCAAATTTGAGCCTCAATGAATCATGTTTTGAATAAAAAATCAAGCTTAAATCAAGCTTGAGCATATGATGTTGAACTGGACTCGAACTTGGATTTGCCTTGGACTACAAGGAATTTTGCTTGAATGCAAATAACAAATGACAAGGACTCAAATTCAAACAAGATGAAAGAAGAATTTGAACTCAATTTGCACCAAACTCAATCAAGAAGAACTTGATTCGAGCTTGGACTTGAATTGGGTTTGCATGAAGAACCATTTCTTGAATTTGGATAATCTTTGAATGATGATATTGAAATTAAATGTGAATATGTAAGTAATGGACTCTTGATAAGCAAGTCTCAATGTATATGAATGATGAATAATGAAATTTAGATGATTTAAAGTGTCCAATCAAGTTGACTTGCAAATGAGAGCAAGTGATATCTATATTGATCATACAATCAAAGGCTACTAGAAGGATTTTGCATGAAGTGTATGATGAATACGATGGCACTTTCATAATCAACATATATATGCAAACAAACTAGTGGAAAACCACCTTCAAGGATAAAGAATTTGCAAGTGAAGTTTGTTTGCAAGCAACAAATGAGTTCCATAAACATTGAAAGGAAATATACAACGAGTCTTCAACTACAAAGAAATGACTTCAAATCTACTAACTTCAGAAGATTCAGTATCAGGGAGCACATTTCCCATAGCTCGAGTCTGAAGCCTGAATGGGTGTAAAAGGTCGGATCCAACATGCCAAAATATGGCTGGATCGCTGGCAGTTCTGTCTACTCAATACGGCAACAAAAAAGGCTGCAGTAGAGGGCCCCATTTTAGCAATTAGAGGACAAAGAGCTACTAAATCCTAGCTCTCTTAATCTGATGAACTCAAGTGACTCGGATTAAAAGTCTTCTCTAGTGGTTAAGGATTAAGATACTACCCACATTTGGTACTATCAACTGAATCCAAGAACCCACAAATCTTTCGTCAGGTCCATCTCAATAAGCATAGGACAGAAAGAGCTAAAATTTTTGGAATTTAAACTAAATCCAATGGCTACTGATTCCAACTAGTGGCTGAAGCGACATTGCTCAAAACTATCCTAAAAGACTGGGGGCATTTTAAATATTTATTTGGATCGACATCGTGCTGCGTGCCGAGATCTCCAAATAAATATTTAAAATTACCTGTGGTACCAACAACACAAGTCTAAAATTCAAACTTAGAGTACAATTCCAGCACACAGCTCAACACAGCTCAGAAAAAAAAGGAAGAAACACTGAAAAAAAAATCCTCCACATATATATAATGATCATCATGAGGTACAAGTATATGGAGACTCAAGGCGCTACAAGAAGTACAGACCAAAAAACAACGAACGAGGACGTATCAAAAAAAGCGAGCCCGTAACTACTCCAGCCTGTCAGTGATCGTAGCCAAGGTTTGAAACTCTGACTGGGCGACCTGAAACTGCTCCACGACACATGTTAGCGAAGCGTCTGCATCCAGCACCTCCTGCTGCAAAGATCTATGACGTTGCTCCTCCCTTCTAATGAGACGATCCCGTCGGCTACGTCTCTCTTGTATATGAAGCCTCCGAGACATCTCCTGCATAAAATACCTCCAAATATTCCGCATACGGGTTGTCACCCCGTCTTCCTCCCTAGTCATATCAGAAGTACTCTGACGGTGTCTCCTCAGAATCTCTACACTACGGTCCTGTAGGTCGTGAGCACCATCAGCCCTCGCTCTGCAGCTGACAACCATCCCCTCTATCTCTGGAAGTGTAACCGTAGACCGAGTGATCGAGAGGAAGCTTAGTTGCCAAATGCAGGATTCTGCCTCGCGACACACTGCCTCCCAAAAAAGTAGCTCAGTGGTGCCCCCATACTTGGCAATTAGGCCAAGGAGCTGGTTGGTAGTAGAAGAAAAGTCATGCCAAGACTCTGGAGACCTTCACTTAATGCTAGAAACTAACTTTCTCAGAGCCTACGCCAAGTGACCATACATCTCAGTGATCATGGAGGTCGGGGGTAGAGGAACTAGGCATTCTATCTTTGAAGTGTAATCATATCCCGCGGGAACTACACAAAAGATTGGAATCAATTAATATGGAGAAAATATTATAATAATGCATTTAAAATAAATTAACTTATAATAAATACATACCCGTGGAGGGACGCACATAGTCGGCTGGGTAACTGGCTAGAGCTGAAGGACCCGCAGGGTCGGCTGGGTAGCTGGCTAGAGCAGAAGTAGGTCCCACAAGGTCGGTCGAGTAACTGACAGGAACGGGAGAAGAGATCGCAAAGTCAGTCGGGTGGCCCTCAGGGAAGAAAGAGAATTTCATGGGAACCAAGCCTAACGGTGGCAGCGTGTGTGGAGGCCCTCCAAAGAACTATGAAAGTAGAGTGGCGCCGGTACCAGAGGACTCGCCTAGACAGAATGACCCGTAGGGGTCCACCGAAAAAGAAAAGTCATAGGAGGGTCCTAGTGTACTGTAGCCCATAAAGTCTGACCTCCTCAGCTCCTGTGCATCCTCCCCAAGGTCCCTATGAGAGGGGCGAGCGTCTAGGGACCGCCTGGAAGAGGTAACAAGCTGAGAGCTGGCCTGCCAGCGAGAAGACCGGGAAGACTCTGCCTGAGGTGGCGCAGGTGCCACGTCTGGAACTCTGGCAGGAGAAGAAACAACATCTGTAGAAGTGGTACGAGCCTCAGTGTGTGTTCCTGCACCAAGAAAATATATATCAAATGACCAAATATTTATCAAACTAAATGCTGACAAGAAGAAAAGATGAGAAGAGATAGGGTAGTACCTCTGTCACCAACAACCTCTGGAAGACTCCGACGGGACTTACGTCCCCTCGACGATCCAAGCTCCCGTACCCGACGCTCGTACCTCCTGGCGCCGTGCTCCAAAGCAGGTCCGAAAGACAACCGTACCCATGACAGTCGGGTGTAACTGACTCCTGTCTGAGCAGATGGCTGGGCTAAAAGAAAACTGGAATCTGTCCCTAGCCTCAGTAAGTGCGCCCAAGTCACAGCGGCAACGTAAAAAAGAGTCTCGGGTGGAACTGTCCCCATGTGTAGTACATCTGTGACCCCTGGAAGGAGTACCTGCCCGTCGTAGGCTGTAGCCTGTGAAAACCCAAACTGCCTGGCCATCCTGTTGGGCTGGTAGCCCTCCGACGTCACAAAGCCACCCTGACGGTGACACAACCATCCTGGGCGCATGCTGATAAAGTACTCAGCAACCGCCAAACTCTGATTACGGAGCAGCAGTGTACGTCTACCTATATGATCGACTCTGTCAACTAGAACTATACCCCTCTAGTGGGGTGGCAAGCTAACAGTGTCTGGCTGGTGTACCAAGGAAAATCGGTCTGAGACTGATTGCGGAGCAAAGAACACCCTAATCCTCTCCGACTCAAAAGTAGAAGAAGCCTGAAAGAGCTATAGAACAGTGGGAAACCCTCTCTGCAAAAAGTAGGCCGGAGTCTCTAAACAAGAAAAGGCTCCCTAGACGTGCAAGTTAACCAAGGCATACAAGTACTGCCACGATAAAGCTGAATCATGCACATCCAAAGAACTAGCATCAGAAGTAGTCCGTAAAACTCTGTACACTCTAACAAGGACAGCAGGAGCAAGAGCAAGCCTCTGTCCCACCGACAACTGACTGGCTGCTAAAAGAATGCTACATCTTAAAGACTCCGTCCTGAGCGGAAGTATGAAGAGCCAAAGCGCCAAAAATCCTGCTAGCAGTAAGTCCTCGTCGACACCTGGTAAAGCTGGAGAAACGAGGCTAGTGGAAGGAAAGGGCTCGGCAGTCTCCTCTGTCAACGAAGTGCCGCGCTGAAACCAGAGTCAAACGGGTCGTGTAGAGAGGCTGCGGCTGGAAACAATAACCTCTTCTGAAGGAAGCTACGAATATAAAGGTCCACAGGCATGGCATCTCGACCACGCCTCGACAAACGCGACTCCCGGTACGTGCGCCTGTAGTGCTGGAGAAGTGAAGGGTAAACGACCGGTAGTGCCAACCTGCCTCTCCCATCACCGTCTGTTGAAGGAACTCTGTGAAACAACTGCTCATCTGGAGGTACACACTCCTCAAAATAGTGTCCAAAAACAAGAAGTCCGGAAACTGTCTGTAAATCTGAAAGGGTAACTGTAAGCTCTGGATCCGTCCAACTGCTGAGTCTCTCGGCCATTCTAGAGGGGGTGACGACTGTAAATGACGATGGCTAAGTAGACTCGACTGTCCAACTGGCTCGAGCTTGTCCGCTGTTGGCACTAGAATATCACAAGTACCCAAGTTAACCTGTGCCAAGGAACTCTCTGACGGGTCGTACTCCTCGTACTACAGTCTGAGACTGATGACCCACCTCTCTGGGTTCTCAAAGCCAACAGAACCCACCGAAAGCTCTGAGAATAAGGGGAAGCGAGCAAAGAAGTCGTGAAAAATGTCTCGCCCTCGCAGCATATCCTTATGCTGCTCCAATCTATCTCGGACATCGACACTGCCCTGAGGATCATGTCTATTTATCGCCTCCCAGATGGCGGCCTCACTAGGCTCACCTGGGGGCAGATCATCAGGTCTCTGCCAACGAAACATTCCCTACACGGGGAAGACAAAAAAGAATGGTCAAAGAACATAAATGATAATAAAAAAGAAAGGGGGAACTACTGAAGACCGTCAACTAACATATAACAAACGTGATTCGCTCTGGGCGCGTACCACATTTGTTGGGGGGCATTTGTTGACCTCTACAACCAACCCAATAATCTTAAATTCGATAAAGAGAATTCAGCTTTAATATGGATTGCATTGAGTTTTGTTATGCACTGATGGAAGAAGCAATCAAATAGGGAAAGCCAAGCTCCTATTAATGGAGTTGATTTGTACAGAAACATTTCCCTTCTATCCATTATGAGCCATCGTGGAATGGGAAAGACAACTCTCTTGCAATACTATGAAGAAGAAATGGCAAAAGGAATTTGATCTTAAAATGTGGGTTTGTGTTTCCACAACTATGATGTGAAAAAGTCATTGCAGATATTTTGGAATCTCTTAGTGGGCCTTGAAGAAGGTCAGTGTTTGCAACTCCTTAACTCTCATGTATTTGCTGATGAAGAGAATCCTAATGATTATAAAGGATTAAGATCCATTGATGGAGAGATAGTCAAAAAGCTTTCTGGATCTCCATTGGCTGCAAAGGTCTCGATGATGCTCAAACAAAGTCCGATTGCAAAACGGACTGCGTCATTGCGTCTGGAACGTTGCCGACATTAAGAATATACATTTTATTTAATCAATTTGAATCTTCTGAGGAAGTGTCGTGAATTTCGAGGCGATCCGCATATGATCCAAAGACATACGTTACGAGGGAAATGAGACCTCGACGATGCTCAAACGAAGTTCGATCGACAAACGGACAGCGCCATTACGTCCAGAATTTGTTGGCATTAGGAATATACATTTTATTTAATAAAATCGCATTGTTTGAGACAGTGTCGCAAATTTTGAAGGCGATCCAAATGTGTTGCGAAGGCACGCATTACGAAGGAAATTAGCCTAGTCAGTGGCAAAATGACGTCCGATTATAAAATGGATGGCACCATTGTGTCCCGAACGTCGTCGATATTAAGAATATATATTTAATTAAAAGTCATTGTTGGAGAAATAATTAAAAATATTTTAAGATCTCCATTGGCAACTAAAGTCATTAGTCGTGTTATGGAGGACAAATTGGATGAAAGGCATTGGAGGGCAGTTCTAAAAGAGAGAGAGAGAGAGAGAGAGAGAAAGGGCAATTTATTGGGTCAGAATTTTATCTTAAGGCTGAGCTGTAAAGTCCTGCGAAATCATCTACAAAATTGTTTTGTATTTTTGTTGCATGCTTCCACGAGATCATACGTTTAATAAAGATGAGTTGGTCTAAATATAGATTGCATTGGGTTTCATTCAACAGTCTCAAGGAATAACTGTGGAGGATATTAGATGAAGATATTTTGATGTCTTAGTCAAGAAACCTTTCTCTGACAAGATTCGATTTCAACACAACATGTTACAAAATGCATGATTTACTACACGAGGTGGCACTTGCTCAAATTTTCGAAGTATCGGAAAGCATTCGTTTGCTGTAAACCTTTGCTCCGTACCTTAAAATGATGCCCGAGACAATTGGATATGTGTCACATCTCTAATACTTGAAGATTCTCCAAACTTTACTGCCAAGATCTCTAAGGAAACGGTATCATTTGCAATTCATAATCTAGAATTTGGGAAGCTTATTCATCACAATTTTTTGTCGAGAGACATGAATAACTCTACAAAAGTGCATTACATGCAATTGCTATGGGAGGATCTCTCTGGAATACATAGAATCGGAAAGCTAAATTCTCTTCAACAATTAGATGGATTTTATGTTAAAAAATGAGAATGGCTTCAAAATTTTAAAGCTTGAGCATATGAATGATTTTTGTCAGTTAAGAATTAAACTTCTTTAAAATGTGAAGGATGTCGAGGAGGCTTGCAATGCCAAATTATGTGCCGAGAGGCGAAACTTATTAATTCAGGGAAAATTTTGATTTCGCCAAGAACGTGCTCGACGACCTTCAACTACCAAAATGTTTAGGAAATTTAATTGAAAAGAAATACATGGATGCAAGATCTACAATATGGATAAAAAAAATTTGTTGGGTTGTCCACACATTAAATCTCTTCATTTGGCTGATGAAATAAGCAAGACTTGCAACACTAAAATATTTAATAATTACAAGCTACTCCAACCTGATTCCTCTTGGCAGATATGGAGAAATGAAGGTTGTTATTAATTGTCATCCCGTGCTCAACAATCTCATTATAAATGTGTTGTGGGTGTTACTAATAGATGTGCTGAAGAATATTGCCTCCTTAGAAAAGCCGATTATCACAGATAAAATGACAAGGCTTTGTTACTATCATTAATATAACAAGGTTTAAGAGATCAGCCAAGCTAAAAGTCAAACAAGAAAGTCATGATCAAATTAATGCTAACCTTGTATCAATCAAACTCCTTTTGTCAGAAATCTTCTGAATCCCAGATATTTCGCTGAAGCAAAACCTCGGACAGGGCTTCCCTTGATTCAAAGCGCGGCTTCGTCGTTAAAAGAGAGCAAAAGGAACTAATTCTTTTTTTACACACAGCAAAGCCTTCAAACTTCTGTCCGAGTTCAGCTCTCAAGTGCCTCCTCCGATCTTACCTCTCCCACGCTGCGAACTCCAGATTCTCTCCGATCTTCCCAGCCTTGCAACTAAACCTCCTCCTACGCGTTTTGCCGTATCCGGATTAGGTGGGTTTCTCCCCTTCGTCGTTGCTCACAACAGCAAGATGAAATCCTCTTTTTAAAGTATTCAATCCACTACAAGCCGAACCGCTACCAAACAAAACCCTCAAAGCCCAAACAAAAATTTCCAACTTCCAACCTATAAGCTGTTAACAACACATCCTTTCCTCTTGTTTTATTTTTGAACTATAGTCATCTCATATCTCCTCACGTGATTTCATTAGCACATTGCAAGGGAAAAAGGTAAAAGTGAATAATGAGATTCCTATGCTTTGTTGACCATCATAATTTCCCATGTCCTTGTTGTTATAGTTATCAAGGTGGTAGGTTTAATTATTTGTGCTGTAACTTTTAAGTTAATTTCTGTTGCTATTTATTACTTGGTTATTAAGTTCCTTTTTTTTTACTGTTTTGTTTTGTCTTTAGCCGATTTAAAAAAAAAAGAGAGCTTTTTCTTTTATTCTCTCACTTTTCAGCCATGTCAAAAGATCACACACACACTTCTGTAATTTACTCTACAAAAAAAAAAAGAGTGAAGTTTGATTTCTTTTCTTTTGTTTGTTTTGTTCTAACTTATTTCTGTTTAAAAAAAAATTTCTTAGTTATTTGTTTTGTTTGAGTCTGTTATTAAGTTCTTTGGTTGACGTTGTTGCATAAATATTTATATGCTAGTTTATATATTTTCTTATGTACATATATGGCTCATATAAGTATATTTGTAAAAAAAAATGAGACAAAAGTTGGACTTTGCTTTCTGCCCCAACGTGTAGCAGTTTCTCTTATTCAATCTTGTGTTCAAATATCTCCCCACTTTAATCAATAGTAGTTTCACTTTTACTAGCAGTTACTTGTAGTAAACTATATTATGATCCTTTAGTCATAATTTCACACGATTCTTGCATAATTTTACTTTCGGTCATTTATTTTTATTGTTATATGTATTTTTTTTATTATATCTGATATTTACATTATCTATATTTGTATAAATATGTATGTGTGTGTGAGTTTGTGTTTTTTTTTAAAAAAAAAAAAGAGGAAAATGGAGTTCCAAGGCAACAACATTTTTTTTTTAATATTTGAAGATTATTAAATGAATGTCACCAATTGTTTGTGCTATTATTAAATTTAAAAGCAATGTATGCATGATTGTTGAGATGCTCACAAATGTACGTGGACTCAAAATACACATCAGGAGCAAACGAGTGGAATATGGATTTTGGATATCTTTATATCTGTAATTTCATGCATGATTTAGTGATGTATTAAGTATGCCATTCATCTTTTCTGAGAAGATCTCAACTACAGTGAAATTTCTTTTTGAATTCTAATTGGATTAATTAATTTTATTAACTTCTTTTTTTTTGCACTTCAGAGATTCAGTTAATTGACTATCTGAACTATAGTTAATTTAATTAATTTCATTAATTATTTGAACTATAGTTAATTTAGTTAATTAATTATTTCGATTTTAATTAATTAAATTAATGCCATTACTAATTTATGCATCATTTTGTGATATATTCATGTTGTATATTTCTCTTGCCACTCGTCGTCGCAACCAATGTTGCAAAAGTATAAAATTCTAAACTCAAAACCTTAAGCTTGATAGCTCATTTCAAAGTTTGTGGCGCACTGGAAAACCGCTCATACACGCCTTTATGCGCGTGGTGGGATGGGACCCCGGTGCGGCGCCTACGACGAGATGGGAAATCACCTTAAGGTCCATCTCGGCGTCCGCGGCGCACCGGAAAATCGTCTATACACGCCTTTATTGCGCGTAGTGGGATGGGACCCCTGTGCGGTGCCTACGGCGAAATAGAGTCATTTATAAGTACCCTCGAGCGAGGGGAAAGCAAACTGTGTTTTTTCTTTATTGTTATTTTTATGTAGGTGCACTCGAAGACCCCATACACGCAATTATTGCACGTGGTGCGAGTAAAGTACAAGGCCGCGGTGTCCTCGTCTGAGGGCACCTACCATACACGCCTTTATTGTGCGTGGTGTGAAGGCTAGTTTCCAAAAATTTCCCCTAAACAGGGGAGACGCCGCGAGGCTGTCGAAATTTTAACTGAAAATTCAAAGACTTGAACAAAATTTGGACAAATTAAACTTGAACTTGTGGACCAAATAAAAAAGACTAATTTTAAATTTAATTAAAATAAAATTGAAATGAGCTCGTACTTTAAAATGACTTGAATAATTTGATTAAAAGTTTGATCAAATAAAGAAAAACAATGCTTGTGATTGCAACAAATTGAGCTCAAATGAACATTAAATGATCATGACATTCAAAATCAAATGAAATTGAATATAAGAGAACAATATTGAATTGAGCTTTGACATTGAACTCAAGCTTGTGAATAAGGAATTTGATTCAAATTTGACTTGTGAAATTGAACTCAAGTAAGGACTTGAAGCACATACATAGAATAGAACTTGAATCATTTGTAAGAGAACTTGGTTTGAACCAAGTAAAGGGGACATAGAAATTGAACTCAAACAAAGAACTTGTATGCTTAGACATTGAACTTGAGCTTCACAAAGTCAAGTGAAACTTAAGCCTGAATGGATTTTAAAAAATCAAAACTCATAAAATCATGGAAATAAGCCATGATCAAATAAATGAGAACTTGACATTGGATAGATGAATGTCAAAGTACAAATAGAGGTTTGTAAGTAACATCAATAAAATACTGAATATCATTGGTGGTGAGCAAAACTCCAAAGTTGAACTTAATGCAAATAACTTCTATGTCAAATCATGCAATCAAACCTGCAAGCAACAAGCATCAACATGTGAGAAAGAGGAAATGATATATGATGATTCAAAGAAATTAAAATGGGACCAAATTTTGATTTTCTGAAATGACATTTGAACAATTCCAAGCAATCTACAAATGAGTGTAGGTTGGATTGTGATCCTCTCACAGTTAATTGAACACTAATTTCTTGAAAGATTCAAGACATCGCCACTTCAATCAAATTGAGAATGTTAATAGTATCAGGTTCATCATGTATATTGCAAGTATAATGTGATCTTTAATTGAAGAAGACTATGGGAGAAAGAGCTTGATCATGGAGCCATAGTATGAGGCCTTTAGATAATGATAACCCGACTCCGACCAAATTCTGAATGTCAAGATTGAATAATACTATCGAGGCTTGCGCGTTCTCGATAAATTAGTGATCTCCAAAGCTTACACTGATGATTGTATAGGACTCAAAGGTGAAGGATATGTGATGTACACTAGCTCTTATGGGCCGTTGTAGGAGACCGTCGTACACACTAAGTATTACCTACAAAGCAAATATAAAGATCTGCAATACATACAATCTCTCGACAAATACAGATGTATGCATAACATGCCACCCTCTGTAAATACATAAAAGACTACAGTAAATGCAGTATTCTGTAGTCAACTTCAGTCTAAAGATAAATACATCTATCTCCAGCAGTAGTTGATGTATTGTAAAGACCAAATACAACAATAAAGTACATGACAGATACGAGCTCCCACGAGCTTCTATTGGAGCCCCACTATAAATATCAAATATCATCTACGAACAACATGCAATATGACCACAATGATTACAAGTACCCATGGACCACTGTAGAAGACTCGTAGTACACCCAGTTTATTATCCATGAGCAAGATACAGTAATTATATCAAGTGCAAGTGCTTATGAGTTACAGTGGAAAACTCATCATGCATACAACAAGCTATCTACGAGCATCTACAAATACAAAGCATGAGTTTAGTTTGTGCACTACAATCTATCCGTATAAATCATACAAGTAGTGCACGACAGTCTACCTGTACGAAGAAGCAAACAACTCTATTTAGAAGCTGATACGCCATGCCACTATATCTGCAACATTCGTACAAGCAGACAAAAGGTGTCCACATACTGCTACGCCGCGCCACCGGATCTGCAACATTCGTACAAGCAGACAGAAGGCGTCCACATACTGCTACGCCACGCCACCGGATCCGCATCATTCGTATTAGCAGACAAAAGGCGTCTACAAATATTCCAAAATATCCTCACACATGCACTGTAGTTTGTACACACTTAGGTACACTAAAAGAGGGTATACAATCAACACCCGCATGGGCCCCGGCGAGCGTGTTATAGAAATACACGTGACGTCTAGGGATGCTGCGTGGTTTATCAAATTTTGAACCTGATCCTCCTAAGAAGATAAAAGGAGTGGACAGGGTTCAATTATAAAATGCCCCCAAAAACTCGCATGAGCCCCAGCGAGCGTGTTATTAGTACACACGTGATGTATAGGGATGCTGTGCGGGTTATTAAATTTAAACCCGATCCTTCTAAACAGGTAAAAAGAAGTAGATAGAGTATAATTACAAAATGCCCCCAAACCCGCACGGGCCCCGACGAGCGTGTTATTGGTACACACGTGACGTCTAGGGATGCTGCGCGGGTCAACAAGTGAATTCAGATTCGAACCCAATCCTCTTATGCGCATCAATAGGAGTCGACAAGGTTCGAACCTTCAAATAAATACACGGTTGTGTTAACTGGTGTGTTTATTTTAATCCATTTATATAAGGCCTTCAAGGCCTATAATTAAGAGAATTCACTGATAAAGGCACGAAGCCTATAGGAAACCTGATCCTCTGTCGACAGCTCGACTGAGTTGACAAGGTTCATCCATAAATTACAAATATTTTCAAATGATCCCCTGACACCCCGATGATGGCCGTGTTGACTACAGATCTCAACCGGAGGGGTTTCTAAATATTTTTCAAATGCCTCCCAAAAGTCCATTTCAAATATTTAATATAGCTCCACCCGAAATACCCATAAAAATCCAAAAAAACTAAAACTCCACAAAATCCAAAAATCCACAAATCCCAAATTTTAAATATTTAAATTTGAAATTCAACCCATCAATCACTTAAAGCAAAATCCATCCACCCTCCGCAACACAACGATTTTTCAAGCTGGACAATTTAAAATTTTCTTCAGCTCACAAAAAAGCTAAATGCCTATTCGAAAATATCACTATGATACATTCTCAAATAATCTCCTGCTAGTAAGGACGTGGTATGTGTCCTCTGATCGCCGGTTTGCGCCAAATGGCACCGCAGGATAAACGGTTATGACCCGGGGCCCTCTGATATGTGATATTTATAGTGGGGCTCCAGCAGAAGCTCGTGGGAGCTTGTATCAATTGTATTATTTATGCACTTTGTTGTGGTATTTGGCTCATGTAGTACATCTACCACTGCTGCATGTAGGTAGGTAGATATTTTCCTTCACAGATTAGAATTAACTTTAGGATACTGCATTTATTGAAGTTCTTCTATATCTACCCATAAATGGCATGTTATACATACATCCGTATTCGTAGAGGACTCATATGTATTGCAGATCTTCTTTATTCACTTGTGTATGGATTTTGAGTGTTTGTTGGTATTTGCACCTTGATCGACATAAAACTTTCTCAACTTTTGCTGAGAGCCTCATACACTTGATTGTAAGCATATTGTTATCCTTTCAATTTGATCTATATTTGCAAGAAAGTTGTTGTGTTTGTTGCATATTTGATTCTTCTTCTTGAAGATACATCTACTTGCAGGATAGCTCCATGGTTGTGAGTTGTGTTTACCACATGTCACCCATTTGTGTTCGCTAATGATTCGTTGAACTCGTTGCATGTGGATCTAATTAATCTATAAGAGATTGATGTGTGTATTTGCAGATTTATTATTGACTGTCGGAATGACTACAACCATTGCTAATTTTCTCACATACATTCATCAACAACCTACTATTAAGTGTCACTCATTTGTGTACACTTCATGCAAAATCCTTCTAGTAGCCTTTGATTGTATGATCAATATAGATATCACTTGCTCTCATTTGCAAGTCAACTTGATTGGACACTTTAAATCATCTAAATTTCATTATTCATCATTTATATACATTGAGACTTGCTTAGCAAGAGTCCATTACTTATATATTCACATTTAATTTCAATA